GCTGACGCGGTCTCTGGCCGCGAGTCCCGGGCGTGCTGGAGCGGCGCTACCGGCCGCCTGCGCGGGTCCGTCGGAGGCGTCGGGGTTGACATCCCGGACCCCGCCCGGCTGGTGCCAGGTTCGGGACAAAGACGCCGCCGGCGCGGCGGGGCGCAGTGCCCTTCGAGCGGTGCCCGCACCCGGGGTGGCCGGGGCGCGGACATCGGCTGGGTTCCGAATTGGCCGCCGCGCCGTGACCGCAGGAGGAAAAGCCGGAGGGACGGAGAGTCCGGGCGGGCTGGTGTCGCCCCGCTTCCCGGCGGGCCGTACTGCCCGGGAATGTTTGTGCCCGGCCGCCGGCGGCTGCGGCGGGCGGATGCGCAGGCTGCGGCTCCCCAGCTGCGAACCGCCGGGCTGACTTTCGGGGAGCGCCCCTCGTGTCCGGCCCCCCGACTCCGGCCCCCGGCCCGGGGGTGCTTGGCCGGCGCCCTGCTCACTTTGCCCAGGTGCAGAGCAAGTCAGGCGTGGATTCCGGCAGGAATTGGAATTTTTCACCTTGGGGAGGCAGCTGCGGAGTCTGCAGAGCTCACAGAGGACCCGATTGAACCAATAGGATGGTGGAGTCTGGCGATGATTTTTTTTTTTTTTTCGTACTTCTGTCGGACTCTTTCCCACTTAGGCTCGGGCTTTGTGTTACTTCTTGCTACATTTCCGACAGTTGTTACCTAATGAAATAGATACAAGTTGTCCATCTTTTTCCACTTAAAGCAAGAGGCGAAACCGCTCCCGGCCCGGTCCATTCCTGATTTTGATCTAGGCAAAGTTTAAATCTGCAAAGGTGTAGGAAAACTGGGTGCAAAGAAATGACCAAAAAAGAAAATTCAGTGAATAAAATTTGATTTGTACAAACGGTAGGTTGTGTACAATGTACAACAGGGTAGGTATGTGCAATATATGTGAAAATGGTATCGGAATGAAATGAGATTGGGGAAAATGTTACTTCATAGTATAGGAGGTTGATCAGGCAGTTAATGTGGCTTAATGAAATTACTCTGGAAATAGTTTCTTAATAAAAAAATGCAGTAATGTTTACTTCTATTTAAATTTTGGCTGAACACGTAAGGGAGTCAGAGGAGTGTTGTCATAATAATTACCCAATTCATTTTTTTTTCCCAATTCATATATTCTTTTTTATTATTTTTGGTTTTGGTTTTTGAGACAGTCTAGCGATGTATTCAATGCTGGTCTTGAACTCACGCAGGCTGGCATTAAGCGAACGGCAATCCTCTTGCTTCCTTCAGTCTTCCGGCTGCTGGGATTACAGGCTTGCATCGTGTCTGGCTCATGTACTCCTTATAGTTTATAAGAAAGCTGCTGGCCTAGTGTGATGGTGCATGCCTGTAATCCCAGCACTTGGGAGGCCGAGGCAGGAAGATCTCTGAATCCAAGGCCAGCCTGGACCGCTGTACATGGTGAGACCCTGTCCCAAAAAACAAAGGGTGAGGGGAAGAGTCAAAGGTGCGGGAGTCTCTAGGAAAGAGCAAAGATAATAAAGAGCATTTTTTCCTTGAAAAATAGTGAGGGAGAACAGAGATGTTCTTTCTGGCCAGAGTTACTTTGGTTAAAAATACTGACTTCAGTTCAGCTCTAAAATGAGTGTTCTACTTTTTTTTTTTTTTTT